TAAAGCAAGTCTTTAGTTTTTTGCAAAAAATAAGGGTTAATAAACTTATGAAAAAGAAAAACTAATTTATCCCTCCCCCTGCAAGACCAAAGTCAACTTACTAAAATCGCATATGTTAGACTTTGACATGTATTAAATGTAGACCTATGTATATCAAAGTCCATTCAGCGCGAATGTAGCCAATTTTAATCCAGCTGTCAGTTTAGAATTTTGAAGTGCTACAACATTTGATACGATGTCAAAATTCATTTTTCAAAAACCACTTGAATGTCAAAAATGTTAAAACACTATTTGAGACGATGTCCAAATTTTTATTTTAAAAATATTTGCTGTCAAAAGTTGATTGACTTTGTATCAAATGTTTGCAGCCAAAGGCAAACAAAATTTTGCTGGATATAGGCTGTGTCTACCGACAAATAAAAAATTGAAAAACAAAGTAACAAAAAACACGATAGAGCTATATTTGGAATGTTAACGGCCGAAATTGTTTTTATGAAAAATAAGCCTAACATTTTTTGAAGAGTAAAACTATTGTGTAACAAGTTTAAATTTAATGTAATAAGCCTAAAATATTCGCGCTAAGTCTAAATGTTACGTAATAAGTCTAAAATGTATGATTCTAAGCCTAAGGATTATGTAATAAGCCTAAAATGTGTGCTGTTAAGATTAAAATGCGTGCTGTTAAGCGTAAAATGTGTGCTACTAAACCTAAAAATGATGTAATAAGCCAAAAATGCGTGCTGCTAAGCCTAAACAGTATGCAATAAGCCTAAAATGCGTGCTGTTAAGCTTAACCATGACGTAATAAGCCTAAAATTGCTGCTATTCCTGAAAAGTTCTTCTAAGCCTGAATGTTTCTACTGAACACATGTAACCACATACAATATTTTCATATATAAATGGCATTCCAATATACAAAACAAGAATATAAAAGCAATAAAAGTCATATAAAACAATCCAAAACATGACACTTAAAATACGAAAAATAGTGTTAACATTCTTTAAAGCAACCCAGCTTAAAACCGTCAAAACAAACATCAATTTTCTATAACAACAATTTATGGTAAAGCAAACACTCCCAGTCATGGCCCCAAAATTTGACAAACCACAACTCTCCAGGGAGGTACCACGCCAAAACTTCTCAATTCTTTCACGAAACACATCCGGCCGCGGAATGGCTTCGCGAAAAAAGATTTGAAACGCCAAAATCACAAAAAAAAATTGGCGTTTCATATGCGGAAAAGCCGGCTTTTTCCGTAGTCTGGTTGGATTCATAAGCATTAAATCCCGGATTATTTAAACGTGTAAACAGAAGGCTGTTTGGCAAGCGCGACGCTTATAATTGGCTTAATTTTTTTGTTAGGGGGTGGGTGTGGGCTGAGGAAAATTTTATTTTAAGTTTTTGAAAATTTATTTTTAGACAACTCTTCGGCATTAGTGAGGTTTTTTATAACATTTGATTTTTAGGCCTAATAAATTTAAAAAAGGCTGGGCTTCGAAATTAGGCCCCCGTCGTTTTTTATGCCAAAACCGAGGAGGGGGGGGTGAAACAAAAAATTTTTTTTTGAAACATAACAAGTGGAACGCGTTTGTTTTATCAAACTTTTTTTTTTTTTAGATTCTACCCCCTCCCTCTAAACCCTACCCTTGCTCCTAAGTATACTTCAACCAATACCCAGACCTTTATCCATAATACCCCAGCCACTATCAATACCCTCGCCCTAGTAAAAAAGTTTACGTAAAACCCCAAAATAAATATTTAAAATCCCCAAATAATTTTGAAAAAATACCCAACTGTGATGATGATTAAGTTTGCGAAAAACCCAACGGCTAAACAGACGGCTGAGCGCGTGCTTTCGGCGTGGTATTGTCTGGGGCAGTTTTGTAGACGAACTTTGTTTATGTGAAAGACGTGTTTTGTTTAAGAGGTGACCCGAGTTGTAAATAGTCAATTTTTAATCAAAGTTGTTGTTTTTGGGCTAGGATTAGGCGCGAGATTAGTTGTTTTGTCATAAATTGACTTTGAATGTGGGGACGTTTGGTAAAAATTTGGTTAGAGTACGAGTTAAGGTGTTTTCTAATCATAAAAGGTTTTAAAGTAGGAGAGGGGAGCTTTATTTTGCATTTTTTAAGATAAAAAGTGATAGCCTATTACAATATACCGTTTTGTTACCTAAAATAATAATTTTTAAAGTACAAGTTGGCTTTAAAGCCAATTTTTTTGTCTAGCCAAAAAGTTTGCTTGTAGCTATCCCCTAGGCACGCAAAAAAAAGTTTAAAAAATAAAAAATGAGACAAAAAAACGTTTTCTGGCCACTAAACATTGTCTGGAAATTTAAAAAGAGATGCAAAAATTTAAGTGCAAAAATGGCGTGAAGCGCCTTAAGCCTCAAAAACGGAATTCAAACTAAAAGTTTGTTTAGGGGACCACTGGCTAAAAGCTCTTAGCGAAATACTGGCTAAATAAAGACTTTAAAGATAGTATTGGCTAAAATCTTGAGCAGCGATCCCTTTGGATCGCTGCATAAAAACTCGTTAAAGCTACTGACTAAAAGCTGACTAAAGAATCTTCTGGCTAAAAACTCGGTAAAGAATCTTCTGGCTTAAAGCTCGCTAAAAATTTTTTTGGTTAAAACTTTTCTAAAGGAGCTGTTGACTCGTTAATGAAACTAATGTCCAAACCCCGTGCTAAAGGAGTTACTGGTTTAAAGCTCGCTAAAGAAACTACACTCTAAACCCTTGTTAAAGGAGCTATAAACTTAAAGTACGCTAAAGAAACTTGTGGCTAAACCCTTTCTAAAGGAGCTACAGGTTTAAACCTCGCTAAAGAAACTTCTGGCTAAATCCTTGCTAAAGGAGCTATAAGCTTAAAGCACGTTAAAGAAACTGATCGCTAAACCCTTTCTAAAGGAGCTACAGGCTTAAGGCTCACTAAAGAAACTGCTAGCTACACGTTGGCTAAAGAAACAAACATAAAGCTCGCTGAAGGGACCACTGGCTAACTTCCAACCGCATTTTTTGCAGCAAAAAGCGGCCGAAGCCCTTTTTCCCATCCCTTCACAACAAATTCCCCATATTTTTTCGCGGGCGACGAGACACCACGCCTAAGGGGGAGGGTGTTTTGAACACAAAAAGTCTTTATTTTTTCTTTTGTCCTTTCCGATCGAAGAGTTCCGCCACTTTTTTCCACAAAAAAAAACTTTGTGTAGGCGCTTTCAGAAGGCAATTGATAATATGGAATGGATAATCATACTCCCTTTTGACTGGTAACAGAATATTCGGTTCAGGCGTTAATATGTAATGGCAGTGGGGTTAAATAATGGCTGATCTTTTTTACTTTTTTTGTGGTTTTAAAAAGATTTTTGGCTTTTTAAAAGGTTTTTTGGGTTTTAACAGGGTTTTTTGGGCTTATAAGGCCTTTTTTTTACTTATAAGGCGTTTTTTATTTTTTTTTGGAATAGGATTAAGGAAAAGACAACTTTTTATGATGGTTTAGTAAAAAAAGACGCGGGTCTTGAGAATATTATTCTGGAGGCGCGTTAGGGATTGTAATGTCAAATACAAGTTAGGGATTGTAATGTAATATACAAGGTTTGCAATATTGGGGATGAAGGTTAAAACAACCGGATTTAGGGTAGTAATGTCAAAAAGATAAAGGAATATGGTGAATGTCAAAGGAATATAGAAAGCGTGTTTGTGGTGTCAAGAAAGAAGGTCACGTACGAATATTACTAGTTTTTAAGCCAGTAGTTTCTACTTTTTTTAAAAAAAGTAGTATCAAATATAAGCGGCTCAAGGAAGTGACAATAATATAATAGTGCAAGAACAAATTATTCGAAATCAGCAAAGAATTGTTGGCGGTACCGAGTTTTAGGCTTAACAGCACACATTTTAATTTTAGCGTGCGAATTTTAGGCTTATTACGTCAGCTTTGGCTTAGCAGCAGGAATTTTAGGCTTATCGGCACGCATTTTAAGCTTAACAGCACACATTTTAGGCTTATTAAATCATATTTAGGGTTAGCGCTAGGCTCATTAAGTAAGCTTTCAGGCTTATCAAAAAATTTAAGCTTATGTAGTTTCTAGTAGCATAACTTTAGTCTTATTTTTAGGCCTTGTACTAACTCTAACTGACTCACCCTTCGAAAAAAATCTACTACAATACGTTCTAAAGCCCCAGGTGTGTCTTCAAATTACCATCGGAATGGTATTCTGTAAATGGAACGCGTGACTATCTTTTCCCCGTTTATTCACGATTTTGTTTATTCTTTTGTGGCCGTGAGAAACAAATATTTTTCCGTTTTGTCTGATTTTTTTTTCAGAAATCGTTGATCTGAAGGACCTACAATACGTTTTAAGCCGAACATTGGTTTTTGAGCTTAAAATTGGGATTTTAATGTTAAAATAGAGTTTAAGCCTAAAAATAAATTTTTAAGTTTTAAAAATGATTTTTTAGCCTAAAATGACGTTTTTACGTTAAAAATGACATTTTTTCGTTTTAAACGACATTTTTTATTGTACGCCTGAATTTTAAACCCAAAACGACATTTTAAAGCGTTCAAATAGAATTTTAGGCTTATAAATGAAATTTTTAACACTTCGGTTAAATTTGATACCTAAATTTATATTTTTAAGCTCAAACTGACGTTTTAACTAATATTGTTGGATTTTATACCTAAAATAATATTTTTTGCCTTAACGCAATTTTTAAAAATATATTTTGGCCGCATTTCGTACTTAAAATGACGTTTTTGAACAATTCGATCTGATTTTATACCTAAAATTACATTTTTGTATTTAAAATAATATTTTTAAGCGTAAAGTTAACATTTTTATATCAGGCTTAACCACTTTTTACATATTCGGATTTAATATAATAAATTTTGATATGATTTTATGTCTAAAATTACATTTTTATACCTACTGTTAATTATCACGGGATATTAACGTGCCTTTCCTTAACTATTTTTAAAATTAATTTTGATATTGATTTAGAGAGTGATGAGGCCACAGCCATCGGCGGCCGCGGCTCAACGCAAAAAACAGGACGAGATTAATTCGAAGAAGATCAGGTGAGTGATTGATAACATGGGTATGAAATATTTGGGATATATGATGAGTAATAGGTGACAGTTGGAATGATAGTCAATGTAAAATGGTGGTTTTTGTTAAAATAAGCCTAAAACGTAGATTTTTTGTTAAATTAAGCCAAACGGTTTTTGTTAAATAAGGATAAGAAAATAAGCCTGAAACACATTTATAGGTTAAAATAAGCCTAAAACTTATTGTGGGAGTGTAAAGTACGTGGATACGGATATCACTTCGGGGTCACAAAAGTCTTGTCGTCAGTTTATAAGAAAATAAATCGACGACAAGACTTTTTTGCCCGCTTAATAACTGACTAAAATAAGCCTAAAATGACTTTAAACGTTTTGAGTAAGTCCAAATTTAATCTAGTGTTCTTCAATTAACCTAAGAGTTGTTAACATAAGTTCAAAATTTACTTTTTCATTGAAATAAGCCTAAAGTTTACTCTAACAGTTTTGAATAAGCTTAATTTTAACCTATTGCTTTATAATAAGCCTAAAATTTGTTATCAGCAGCTAAAATGTAACAAGTAAAGGTTTTTTAATATAAATAAGCCTACAGTTTAATTTTTAATAGGAATAAGCCCAAAATGACACTAACAGTTTTGAAAAGGCCTAAGTTTAACCTATTGTTCTATAATAAGCAAGTTTTTTATCAGCAGCCTAAATGTAATAAGTAAGGATTGTTTAACAAAAAAAGCCTAAAATGCAAAACATAATTTAAGCCTAAAAAATTAGTTACGATGACTTTATAGGCAGCTCTTGCATCAAGAAGAAAACAAGTACTGTTTCGAATGTGGCCAACGTGGCCCCACCTACGTCAACGTGACCAACAGCAGTTTTTGCTGTATGCATTGCTCCGGGTTACTGTAAGTTTTTCTTAATTTCAAAAAATAGTTTTAAAAATAAAAAAAATTTTAAATTTCGAAAATTCAAATTTTTTTCAAAATTTTAGTAAAAAAATAAAAAGTTTTTGGTTTAGGAAACCACAAACTAAGATGTGACTTTTTAAGCCTTTTTTGCAATATAGTTCTTTGAACTTTTTAAAAATTTACAAAAATTTCGTTTTTTCACTTTTTCTTTTAAATTTCAAATTTTTCTCCAAAAATTCTATTGTTCTCCCCTAAAAACATTCTCTTAGACGAGGCCTTCATCCCCCGCACCGTGTCAAGTCCATCTCGATGGCAACCTTCACCAACGAGGAAGTGGAACGATTGCGGAACGGTGGCAACAAACTCAACGCCTACATCTTCCTCGGCCTATACGATGGTAGGAGCAAGTTTGAGCCGCGACTAGACGAGGAGGTGAGGAAGCATTTGGTCGAGAAGTACGAGAATAAACGATGGTATGTGAGTCCGAATGATGTGGAACTACAGAAACGGCTTCTGGAAGAGTGCACGGAGCCGCATCGACGGAACAGTTTGAGTGGAATGTCGGTGAAAAGTCATAAAAGCAATCAGTCAGCACCTCCGAATTTGCATACCTCCAAGCCGGTAAGGGTGCTTTTGGATTTGGAGGTATAGAGTTAAGGGTTTGGGATTTAGGCTTTATTCTTGAGCTTTACCTTAATTATTAGGGTTTAGGCTTAGGTTGGGGTTAGGCTTAAATTTTTAGGTTTATGCTTTGAGCTTTATGGTTTTAGGCTTATTTTTTAAAGCTTTAGGGTTTTACTTCGAACTTTAGGCTTAATTTTTTGATTTTAGGCTTATTTTAAGGTAATAAAAACCATAAAACAATTTTTTTTTTCAAAAAAGTTTCATTTTCAGCAAGGCCCAATCGACATTCTAACCGGTGACCTACTAGACCTCAGTTTCAACCCTCCAACTTCACATAACCCACCCCCACCCGAACCAAAAACCTTACCCGAGGACGATTGGACATCCCTCTTCATAAATCCACCGCCACAGCCAAAAGCACCCCTCCAACCTACAACTTCATTCCCTTTCGCTGCCACTTCCACAATACCACCCCCACTCCAGTTCCCCATGCCTGCCATACCCCCGCCCAAGTCCAAAGACCATCCAGGGACTTCGCATTCGACCAGCTTTGCTGAATTTGAAAATTCGACCGGTAAAATTAGTGGAAACAACGAGTTTTCAACGCCTTCTGGATGGGAATGTAAGTTTGGATATAAGTTTGGGGTTCATTTAGAATGGGGTTGGGCGGGGTAGATTTTTTTAAATTAAGGTTTGGAAGAGGGGGGAGGAGTTAAATTTGTTTTTGGGGTGGGTTTTTTGAATATGTGGATTTCAAAATTTTTCTTGAGATCTTTTTTTTATGAAAAATGGCATTTTTAAGAATTAAAACCATGTTCCTGGTCAAAAAGTTTATAGAACCGTCCTATTTTCAGCGTTTTCATCGTCCGGAGTACCAAAATCAGCGACAACCGGCTTTTTACAACCAGTCAATCAACAACAACCTCAGGTAGGTAAAAATTATTAACAGGATACAGATTTTTATCCCGCACCGTGCAAAAAGTTTTAAATCTGCACGGTGCAACGCTTTTTCGCTGCACCGTGCAGTTTTTTAAATTTTGTTTGCACCGTGCAAAGCTTTTTTTTGTAAAATACGAACACTAATTTCAAAAACTTTCAGGCCCAGTTTGACCCCTTCTCCTCCCTAAATCAACCAAAAAAGACCCCACCACCACTTCCTCAGAGTCGACCGGTCGCCAGCCTTTCCAATAACGGCACAGATCCTTTCAAGACTCCAGTTCAGTCGGAAACGCCACCAACTGACAACTGGAACCCTTTCCTCAGCTAACAATATTATTTATTAACTGCCTGTTACGAGTATTAGTGATCCAATCACTTTATATTATTGTATCTATTCTATTTTATCAAAAGTATTATGAGTTCTATTGTACTTAAAGGTTGTTGCAAAAAGAATGACATTCTCATTGCTTTAGGTAATAAAAGTCATTTTCTTGCAGCAAACAGTCACTTTTATTGGAAATACGGTATTTTTAGTGAATTTCGCTTATTTTTGATTAAAAATATAATTTAGGTAACACTCACTAAAAAATTTTGCAAAAACTGATCATTTTACAAACTTTTATGCAAAAAACGAAATTTTTGAGATTTTTAGATAATATCGATTTAAAATTTCATAAAATGTCAAACCGCTTTATACCGTATTTCCCCATTCCCCATCGAAACCATAGTTGTTATGAATATTCGGGTAATTTTTATTTAGCGATTGTTTTGATAAAATAAATACACTGTACAAGTTCGAAAAGTTGATGATTATACCCATGACAAGAATATTTTTCAATGGCGACGAGCCAATACGCCGGCGGCGATCAAACTGGCTCCAACTGCGGCGACTCCACCAAGTCCAATAACAGCCAGGCCGAGGAGGGAATCTGTAAAAAATAAGAGTATGTTTGGAAAGCTCTAAATGTCATATTTTTTCATAATAAATGTTAAGTTTCATTAATATAATTCACCTAAAAACGATCTTACCCTTTTTCATTCGCTGGTTAATAAGGTCCCTCAAGGCAACGGCTTGCCGATTGTCACTTTCTGCATACAACAACGCGTTTATGTACTCCAGAGCTTTGTCATACTCCTATAAATTTTATATTATTCATACTAAACCCAAAATTAAGCAAAATTACAAAAATATTTTAAAAAATATATTACACACCACCAAATAGGTATACCGTTACAAAATCAACCATTATATTAAAAAACCCTCCTACCTTCAGTCTAGTATAAGCCACAGCCAAGAAATATACATAATCTCGTTTTGGCACTTCTCCGTCATCCTTTCTCAATAAACCTAAACTCATAAGAATCAAAGAAATAAAAACATACCTTCAAATATAAAGATTCCAGTACGAACGTTCTCCTTTGTCGACCTGATCAAAGCATGCGCATAATTAAAAGCCACATTATCACTGACTGGCCCTCTGGCTTGTTGATTGCGGTATGTTCGGGCAAATTCCTGAAAAATTGAAGTTAATATGAGTACCCTTTGTTAACATAAATTCTAACTAGACGTTAATCAAATCAGTCCCGTTTTGTCAAATTCAATGCAATCACAAAAAGTTTTATTAAAAAGACCTTTGACAAATGATTAGTCATATCTAAAGAATCTCATTTTATCTATAAAAACTCACTTCCAAATCTCCAGCCTCGACATATTCATCCACAATGCTTGAGGGATCCATCACCTACAAAAATTAGTTAGTTCTGAACCAATTTGATATCGATGAGTAAAAAACACGCTTCTAGAATTCGAAACAATCACGTTACTCAACCTCAAACTATTCTCATGTTATTCTTCCATAAATTTTCAAAATATGACTTTTGCAAACTGCGCCCATTCGCTTATTTCAGTTATTTCCTTATCGCAAACTGCGAGTGACATTTTATACGGAAATCTTTGAATTTTGGGTTTTTCGTTTTTCTTTACAAAATTTTGCGATTTTAGGCGTCAAATCAAGAAGCTTTTAAATCAAAGCGTCTAACAGAATGTTTTCACCCTACTTGACATTATTTTTGGTTCGAAACGAACAAAAGGTAAGGTTTATACATCAATTTTGTCTTTAGTTCTAATTTTCTCAAGGTTTTTATCAGTGAACGCAGTTTGTTGATAAGCTCGTAGTGATCGTCTAATGGAACAGGTTCTTGAATTTAAGTTTTGCTTATTTACTGCGTTGTATCTTTTATTTTTCGCGCGATTTTGCGTCTACAACAACATGATCTCAAATAAGACTCGTTCAATCTAACCTTGGCTATCTAAATTGTGTTCGCGTCTACAGCTTTTGTAGTCTTTATTTCTTTACATTGTTTCATAGATATTTTGAGCGATAGATTTTTATTTCTGAACGATTTTTTAGCGAACGAACGACAATGGAGAACATATCGGATGTCTGGGGATTTGTACGAAGAAACCGAGGTAAATTGGCCGCTGTAGGCACTGTTATTGGTGGTATTTATGCAGCAAAAAAGGTGTTAGAAAGCGAACAAGTTAGACCTTATGTTAGAGACACTTGGCCGTTCCTGAATGTGGCAGCAAGCGAAGAACAGGACGATCACAAGCTTTTGCAGGTAGGTTAACATATATTTTTGTTGATGTTTAGGATTTTTGCAAGATGATTGCTGAAGAATCGTATTTTCGTAGTTTGATTGGATAATTATACATCTGATTAACTAATTTTAGTCAAGAAAAACATTCATATTCGACTGCCATCAACAATCAAGTGACAAAGAGATAGCCGAGACCATTGATGATCTTTATGCTGCCATAAACCGAAGATTTAACACAGAAGCTCTTGTTGAGAGATTACGAACTGAAGAAGGCATACCACAGGGGGAAAAGATTGCAATTTGGGAAGATATAAAGGTAATTATAATATTTCGTAAGCTTTTATTGTTTTAGGTACTAACTATTGCTCGGATCATCGCTTTGTCTTATTATCACTCGCTTGTGATTATGGTATTGAAAACGCAGAAGAGTATATTGTGTAAAGAAGCCATTAGAAACTTGGAAAGTTCAATGAAACCGAAAAATGGAATGTAAGTTTGATTTTTGTTGTGTTTTGTGGTTTAGGTATATTGCACTTGAAAATTGAAGAGATGTGATGTTTTGAGGGTTATCTTTGGTGTGTTTTCATAATATTATATTAATTTTCAGAGTAGGCTATGTCTCAGCTTTCTTTTTCGAACCAGCTAATGGCAAAGCTCAAGTTTTCACTGATCCAAAAGCTCAAGAAGTCTTCTTACATTGCATTCAGTATCTAACATGTAACGGATTAGCCGATTTATTTAACAGAATTGAAAATATCACCAGAAAACGAGTTGGTCAAGTTTCATTGGCCAAGCAATTCGATTGTCAAGGCTTGTTGATGTTGTTGGAGAAGATTAAGTTTGATTTGGATAATTCAGCAGGATCGTCAAATTTTGTAGAGTTTGTCGTGCCTATCTCTAGGGTAAGTTGGGAGATTTAGGCAATAAAGGCTTTACAGTTTTTTTGCTTGTTATGTCATTTTTAAATTTGTTTATAGTCATGGGCTTTAGCTATATTATACTTGATGTTTCAGCTTCAAACTCCGAGTTCCTCCGCTTACAATTCAGCGCATCTGGAGGAATTATTGACGAAACTGACAGAATCCTTCCAAACCAGCAATGCCCGTTCCCTAATGTCTTCATTCGTGAAGAAATACTTGTATGAAGCTATGGATTTACTGGAACAAGAACTCGACACTATTAAACCATTGCCTCTGGCTAAATTATTGCCAACTTTGAATGACGGTTTTTCAAAATTGGCTTCAACTGAATACGACTCGGTTTTACAACGAAATTTGGCCGATCCTGATTTATACAAATATTGTCAGACTGTTTGTTACGATTGAGAGATGTTCTATGATGATTCGAGACTATGAATATACAGTGCCTACTGTAATAAATATTTTTATGATTTTTTGATAATTTTTTTGATATTATAGGAGGTTTAAAGCCAAAAATACATTAAAATTGATTTTAAAATGGTTGAAGATTAAAGTTAGTTTGTTTTTGTAAATTATATTTTGGCTAGAAGCTTAAACGGAGGTTAAACAGGGCAAAAAAGGTATGATAGTTTTAGGCATCAAATTCATGCCTGAAAAGCAACGTCTACTTCAATTTGCACCAGCTTTGGCACGTTGCACGGTTGAAGTGAGTCTTTATTATATTTTTTTTGTAATTTAGATAGCTTTCTTCAAAGTCATCGATTTTAAAACATGCTCTTTCATTGGAATAGTGAACGACATATTTGTTATTTTAGGCTTCAACATACGGAGGTTGTGTAGCAGCAAAAGCCGAAAAAGTCCAGGCGAAACAGTGCCAACAAGAATTCGACCGGTTGATTGAGTGTTTTCGTAAAAATATACGAAAATGAAGACGAAACGAGCGAAGAAGGCTCAGAAGATACTCAAATTCTTTCATTTCAACTACAAATTTAACGAGCCGTACAATGTTGTCATGGATGGTACCTTCTTTCAAGCTGCCCACACCAATAAGATCAACTTGAGAGAACAAGTACCAAAGTACTTGGGGGCTCCCGCTGAGTTATATACGACTAAGTGTGTTCTTAAGGAGTTTGGTAAGCTAATGAATGATTATATTAGGCAAAATTTTAAATTTGTTACCTAAAATTCAAAAAGATTGGCATTTTTTTATGAAAAACAAAAAAATTTTTAAAAATGCGATATTTAATTTTTTAGAAGCCCTTGGAAAAGCGGTAGGAGGAGGTTACAATGTGGCTAAGAATTACGAAGTTCTCTACTGTCCTCATGATAAGCCTAAACAAGCGGCCAAATGCATAAAATACTTGGCCAACAAGTCCAAAAAGCCAGGCCAACGCAAATTAATGGTCGCTTCACAAGACGAAGAACTACTATTTGAATTACGTGATCTAGGGGGAATACCGTTAATTGGAATCAAGTTTCATACTGTATTATTGGAGCAGGTATGGTAATATAATTTTTTTAAATTTCTGATTATTTAGCCCTCAAAAGCAAGCCTAAACACAGAAGGCGAGAAGCCGGTGGAGCTGGAGAGAGCACAAGAGCTGAAAAAACAAGTTTTGGGTGCTCCAGAAGTCAAGAAAAAGAAGAAGAAAAAGGGTGTGAATCCGTTGGCGTGCCTAAAGAAGAAGTCCAAGCATTTGGAGCAGAAGCCAATACCTGTTGTCGAGAAGAAGAAGCCGGCTAGAAGGAGAAAGAAGACAAAATCAACTGAAAATGGCAAAACTTCGGGAGAAAACGATCAAAATTCGAAGGAAAATAGTCAAAAAGTCGATGGAAATTCATGAAAAAGTACTGAAAATGGACAAAATATATTGACCGACTGGTTAAAATAGCATTTACAGATTGTAATGAATCATTTTGATGTATAATATAGCTGGTTTTGGCTTATTTAGGTTGTTGAATCATGAAATATTGTTGTTGGCTTTAAAAAATAATAAAAATTGTTGAAATTTTGAATTTTTTTTGAATTTTAAAGCGTTTAACGATGAATATACCTGGAAAACATGTTGTAGATAGTTTTAGGGTTATTTGAGGTAAAAGCGTGTTGATTTTTGTTAAATTTGAAATTGGTCAAAAATTACTTGGAATCATCGACAGGGGGACCAAGCTGATTAATAAGGCCTTATAAGGGGAATTCTATGAATATTGCGATTTTTTATTTGAAAATTTAAATTTTGTTTTGATAAAATTAAAAGTTATAGTACATGGACTCACGATCTCTACGCCTGTTACAATCAGATGCCTTCGTAACACCGTTAAATGTGTTTGCAACACATTTAAATGCACCATGTTCATCAATTTTACTGGCTCAGGAAGATGTGTATTCACGGGTTTATTTGATTGTGGGGAAGATCACTGGGGAGGTAAGGAGGTTAAAACGGTTTTTTTATTTTAAAAATTTTGTTTGATGAAAAATTTAAATTTATTACCTAAAATTAAAAAAGTTGTTATTTTTTAAGAAAAATTTGTAAAAATATTAAATTTGAACTAAAATTCAATTTAAAAATTAAAAAAAATATTTTTTACTTTTTCAGACAGTGTTCTTCCCAGTTGATCGTGCCGAATCCGTTTCGAAGTTTGAATCCGAATCCAAAGAGCCAATTACAGCAATTACTGCTGGCGACGTCAGGAATACTGGAAAGTAAGTTTTTGCGTAAAAACAGAGGTTGGTATTGAGTATTTTTTAAATTTAAGTAATACTTTTACATATTTTAACTTTTAATTTAAAATGAGGAGTTTTTTTTGAAATTTAGGTAATAAGTTTTGAATATTTAAAAACTTTTGAGTAGAAATGACGTTTTTTTTAAATTTTACAATTAGGTAACAAGTTTGAGTTTTTTTTCGGTTTTGCGTTAGAATTGAGGGTTTTTTTTAATTTTAGGTAACAAATTTGAATTTTTTCAAAAATTTTTTTGTTGGAATTGACTTTTTTTTTATTTTTAGGTAAAAGTCTAGAATTTTTTACAGTTTTGCAAAGATTTTAGAAATAAAAAAATATTCATATTCAGAGTAGAAGTAGTGACGGTATCGTGCAATGGCCACCTCCAATCCCTCCGCTTCCCCCACCCCACCAAACTCACTGCCACGCCCATCCCGACCCGCGTCTTCTCCCAACAAGTCAATGCCAATGTTTGTGCGGCCGAATGTTTCGATATTGATGGCGATGGTCTGAACGAGTTCCTAGTGGTGATGACCGATCGCGTGGTACGATCGTATCGATTCGACCAGTTGGCCGACTGTCTGGTACCGCAAAACAAATGGGAAATGCCGAATCAGATATCGGGTTGGGGACTGGGGCTTGGTAATGGATATGGAACTGGTCATGTGTCGGGAAATGGGAGTAATGGTACTGTTGGTATAGTAGAGGAAGGTGGGACCAAGTTTGGATTCTTGGCAGGTGGTACTGGAGGAGGAGATACTGGGTATGGGACTGGTGCAGTAGGACGAGATACTGGTTATGGGATTGGTGCAGTAGGACGAGATACTGGGTATGGGACTGGTACAGTAGGACGAGATACTGGATATGGGATTGGTGCAGTAGGACGAGATACTGGGTATGGGACTGGCACAGGACAAGGAAGTGGGCGCGGTACTGTGTCTGGAACATCAGAAGGAGCTCAAAGTTATGGTACGAATAGTGCAGCTGGACAAAGTACTACGTATAGTACTGGAGATGGTACAGTTAGAGTAGGAGAGAAACATGGTATTGGATCAGGGCATAGTGCAAGGACTGGGCATGCTTCCGGAAATGGTACTGGTAGACTTGAAGATAATCTGGTAGAAAGTTTAGGTATTAACGATGTTTTATCGACAGGAAGGACAAGGAAGCACGATACTAATGAAAACAGTAAAAATCTGCAAGGTAAGAGCCTTACTGGTACTATTGGGACGTTTTATGTTTTTTGAAATTGTTTGCACGGTACAACTAATTTTGTAAAGAAAGTTCTTTCTATTTTTTGTTTTGTAAAGAAATTTTTTTTTTTGTTTTGTAAACAAAGTTCTTGCAGTTATGTATTTTTGTTACCTAATTTTAATTTAAAACCAATTTATTTTAGGAAATCCTCTAAATTCAGCACTAACAGTTGGACTAGCTGATTGTGTCTTAGCTAACCAGCTAAAAACTGGATTGGACCTAGCGGACAATCTAAAAAAGTTACTTCATAATTCAACAAGTGGTCACTTTCTAAACGCTACACAATCGTACGATCTTCAGAGTCTTCAAAGGACTGGGTTAAGTCCTATGAATCTTCAGAATCCATCAACTGCAATGTTGAAGTCATTGTCAAAAAGTCAAGGGATTCAGATTCTGTCTTCCACGAGTACTGGGATCCAGAATCTAGCGTCAAATAATCAAAGTATTCAGAATACGATGAATCAGAATCCTTTGAATACACTGTCGATTCAGAATCCTCAGGACTTGACTTCAACGTCTCAGAATCAGAATTTTCAAAACTCAACTTCACAGAATCAGAATTTAATTATAGCGTCGCAGAATCAGAATTCAAGTTTACCGTCGCAAAATCAGAATCCCACTTCACCGTCGCAGAATCTTCAGAATGCATCGTCAAAGCATAATCTTCTGAGTCCAACTAGTACAAACTCGAATCTTCTGAATCTTACCTCACCATCCCAGGATCTTCTGAATCTTACATCACCGTCAAATCAGAACCTTCTGAATCCATCGTTCTTCTCAACATCAGGAATAAGCCTACCCTTCGGCCTAGGCCAAGAAAACTGGGCTCTCTTAAGCCAGGCTTGCCAATCCCAGTACGTTCGTCTCGATTTTGGCTTAAGTAAGAACGTCAAGGTCGTGCAGAGCACGGTAGCGGACAGAAAGTACGTTACCCTTCTCTTCATACCTCCGAATCCACATTCAGTAAGACTCATGCAATCTCTGGTCAATAAGCTCGTCATCGTGTCTGGAGGCAAAGAAGTCGAGCTGCAGAATCCGGGCGGTGACTTTGTTTGCGTCACACATGCCAGGCTACACTCTGGGCTGCATACCGTGATCACGGTGGACCCATGGGGACAGTTGTTGGTTTATGCGTTTACGAAGGATACGGTAGGTTTTGTGTGTAATTTCTTGGGATACGGTACTGAGTTTAGGGGGATGCTGTAGGTTTTGGGGGTGGGGTAAGGTGTGGTAGGGCAAGTTAGAGCAAGGTAGGGTAGGGTGGGGTAAAGTGTGTTAGGGCAGAATAAAGCAAAGTAAGATATAATACTGTAGGATAGAGTAGGTAAGGGTGAGTACGATGCGCTTATGACATATTGAAAGTTATCATGTTTCAGCAAGTAATAGACCCAGTAGCACGATGTAACGTACTCCGAGACGTCGACCATATGTGTGCTTTTGCCGGCCCCAGCAATTACAGCCTGTTCTTGAGTATGGTGAACATCTACAACAAAGTGGCAATCTATCTGATCGATCTTGCACATATCATACAATTAATGTAACTAGAATACTGTGGTAGGTGTCTTTAGTAACATATAGTACTAGTACTGTGATAGGTGTCTTTAGTAACTTTTAGTACTGTGGTAGGTGTTTTTAGTACTAATTGGTACTGAAAGTAGTACTGTATTAGACTTTTTTCACCTTGGTACTGGCTGTTTGTAATTAAGTACTATAGTACGTACTGCGTTGTTTATGTACTATATTACGTTCTGTATAGTACTTGTCATGCTGGTAGTACTGTTTCTAGTACTAATATGAAAAGCTCTTATATGTGTCAGATACTATAATTTCGTATGGTCTTATCATACTGTAGAAACACTAAAAACTATGGTGCGTCTGCCATTACCAGGTGTATTTGCTTTATATAATACAATATGTACAGTATTTATAACTTTTTTTTTAATTTGACATATTTTATTTTGGAATTTATTTAATTTTATATCATAATTTGTAATTAAATAATAAATGGCAATCATGCCAAAAGAAATGAGACCAAACTATTCAAAGCGAACATACCATAACATATCAAACGTTACCATGAAATACGAAAATACACTGTTGGTATAACTATAATAATATGATGAAGAAAAGACAATAACTAAGATAATATTCAATGATATTGGCGTCAAAAAAGTCTTGTCGTTTTTTAACTTGTAAGGTAATGTTAATTGACGACAAGACTTTTTTGATGCTATAATAATTGACTTACTGTAGAAATAACGTGATTTAATGTGATATACTGTAGCAATAACTGAAATACGATAAGAATATCTTTTAAAACAAAAAAATTAGAATAGTGATAGTGATAAATGATAATGTAAAGCAATATCAGCAATACATATAATGACGTATACGGTAAAGAAAAGAAATTCAAGCGTACTGATACAGCACTAATTCTAATAAAAACGGTACTATTCTATATTGTACTGAAGGAAATGTGGATTATAGAGAGTACAACAAAGCGTGTCATCTTGTCTTGTTTTTCAGACCGGGCGGGGTAATTTTTTAGGGGGGTGGAGGATAAAACTTTTTTTCAAAAACGAATTTGTTTTCTATTATCGTGACTAGCGAGTTTTTCCAAAAAAATTAAATTTTTCCCCCCCCCCCCATGTTAACAAATTTACCCCGCCCGGTCCTAAAAACGAGACAAGATGACACGCCTTTTAAACTAATATTAGAATTTTTTTAAATTAGAAAGATATATAAAATTTATAAAAACCAGATCAAATATCGTTACAGCTGGCGGCACGGTCGTTCAAACTTTGTCGCCGTTCCGTCCCGACACATTCCCGTTGAGAGGAAGGCGCGGGCTGACTTTGGGCCGAAGACACATCTTCATCAGCCTCATCCAACGAAAACCCATCACTTAAATGACCGTTGAACGAGGAGGTCTGCTCTCGCACCAACTCTCCCACACTACCCTTGTACGACGAACCGAACTCCACGCTACCCTTGTACGACGAGCTCAGTTCACTGAGTTCTTGGTCCATTTGACCGCGCCGTGCTCGTCGTTTCTGGTTCTGGCGTGCCGACGAAAGAAAACTGTGGTATTTTATGGGATTCGTGACGGACTTACCTGGTCTCGGTGTGCTCGTGTCGATAGTGGTTGTTGGGTCGATTCCCAATGGGCAAATTGATCAGAAGCCGTTTTAGGGTCTTGCGGTAGGGCGCGTAGATGATGGCTGTGATTAGAGGGTTTACTATCTGAAACATTGTTAGTGTTATGATTGGTTTTGGCAAGGTTATGAATATTTTTGGCAAGGTTATCAATAGTTTCGGGCATTACTAATGATTTGTTTTGGCAGCGGTCTCCAAGCGAAATCGAACTTTTTTTGATTTTCAACATTTTTAAACTGTTGTAACTTTGTCAAAAATGATGACATCTTGACCGTAATATGCTATTATCTACTCGCTACAAAGCCTGGTTTTTAAATTTTTAAAAAATTTTTATATTTTTTCATAATTAAACATTTTTCTTCAGGCCGAATCGAACTTTTTTGGATTTTTGGCCTTTTAAACAACTATAACTTTGTTGCCAGCGTTGATATAACTAAAAGCAGGCAAGAATATGCTCTTTATTATATTTTAAACTTTTTTTGCAAATTTAAAATTTTTTTAATTTTACCGGATTGGTGGTGAGAAGGTACAACAACATCCAAGCCAGCCAGTTCATAACTTCTCGAGTTTCACAGCTGATCGAACTCCATTCGAATAGGTGAATCCGACAGATGTTGAATATTCGATATGGTAAGAGACTAAATGACGTCCAGGCGGTTGTTGCAAAAATGAAAACTAGGGATTTCAGCTGGAATTACAGTATGAAATGGTACGGTAGAGCATGGTTAAGTAGGGTAGAGTAGGGTAGGGTAGGGTAGGGTAGGGTAGGGTAGGGTAGGGTAGGGTAGGGTAGGGTAGGGTAGGGTAGGGTAGGATAGGGTAGGGTAGGGCAGGGCAGGGTAGGGTAGGGTAGGGTCAGGTAAGGTAAGGTAGGGTAGGGTAGGTAAAGGAAGAGTAGGTAGGTATGGTAGGGTACTGTATAACACAACGTACCTTATTTTTGATATCAACTTGATTATTGTGCATCGTAGCTGGTGCATTACGCTTTTGTCGTGTCAGTCGGAACAAGTAGATACTGACAAAAAGTGATGATGTGACTGGTAAAACACAGAACATGATCATGAATATCTCATAGTAATACTTCTTTTGGTCTGCCATTTGTAGCATGCAGTCTTGGGTGACATATACGATACCGCCCATCCAGACATAGCTTACAAAACTGAAATCAAGCGGTGTTACAGTATGATAATGGGGAATTTTTAGTTTTGTAGCCTACCTTACTCTATTTTACCCTACCCTACCCTACCCTACTCTACCCTACTCTACCCTACCCTACCCTACCCTACCCTACCCTACCCTACCCTACCCTACCCTACCCTACCCTACCCTACCCTACCCTACCCTACCCTACCCTACCCTACCCTACCCTACCCTACCCTACCCTACCCTACCCTACCCTACCCTACCTTACCCTACCCTACCCTACCCTACCCTACCCTACCCTACCCTACCCTACTCTACCCTACCCTACCCTATCCTACTTTAACCTTCCTTACCCTACCTTAACATCCTTTACTCTCTCCTAGCTTACCTTACCATGCCTTGCCTTATCGCCTATTTTACCATACTAAACCCCTTCCCATTTACCACCCCCAAAACAAGTAAAATATACATTGCATACCCGAACGACAAACACCATATGAAGATGCAAAGGAAGGCGGCCCTTCGCTTCGACATGGTTTGATCGTATCTGTAGGGCCATTGGAAGTAGATGAGCTTGTCCACATTCAGCAGGGTAAGTGAGAGGCCCGAGACGGCCAAGCCTAGCCAGTTACAGAAGTGAATTACCGCGCACAGGTGGACATGACGAAGGAACTCGTGCTTTCGTATTAGGAACTCGTTGGGGTGGCAAAACACTAAAGTACAGTATGCTATGATGGGAGAGAAATAAAAGTTACAGTATGATGGAAAAAGTTACAGTATGATGAATAAATCTTAAAATACAGTATATAAGGCTAAAAATGATGGCTTAAGGGTAAGCTACAGTATGCTGTACTACAAAAAATTTCAAAGTTACAGTATGAAAAGTTACGATAAAGTAAAAAAATTTATTTTTAAAATTTACAGAAAGTTACAGTAACAAAAACCAAAAAAACCTTACCAGTCAACAAAAGATCCCCTAAGGTCATGTTGATGATGAACAAATGCATTGTATCTCCACTGCGTTTGAACAATTTAAAGGCACAAAATATAACCATAACGTTGAATACGGTAGCTGCCGTGCATGCTGCCAGTAGGAGATCATCAACCTAAATGTCAAAAATGTCATTTTATATTGAATATTGTACTTAATGTGCATTTAAAATGGCATTTTAAGGTGGTAATTAGTCTGAAATGGCACTATATGCTATACCGTACCTACCGTATTTTAAAAATTATGCTTGTTTACAACATACCGTACCCCAACATACTATACTTTTCAAACACTACTCATACCTGCCCTTAAAACCTTCAAAACCTACTGTACTCTCACCTACCATACCCCTAAAAAAATCCACCATAATCTACCACACCTCCAAAACCTCCCCCCTACCTACCGTACCCCAATCTACAATACTATTCAAAAACTACCTATACTCGCCCTTAAAACCTTCAAAACCTACAGTACTCTAACCTACCATACCCCCCAAAAACCTACCTCCACCTACCGTACCCACAACCTACCGTATATTGAAAGTTGCGGAAAGCATCGCTTTCGTAGCACTGACTGTAGTCGTCGGGAATGCTGATGTCTTCGAGATCGGTCATGTTGTCGGGAATGGGGTCTGGCATGGCGGTGAGGGGGGACTCGGGTGTGATTGCCTCAGGTCTCGGCCATCGATGGAGGCCAATTTGGGACACGAAGGCCAAACCACGAATGGGACGCAATTTTAATCGGCCTAATATCCCCCGGGCGAAACACTTTTCTCTATTACATTTTTATGCGATTAGAACCACCAAAATAAACAAATCCAATCACGGCCCGAATCGAAAACGCGGAGGGGGGTTTTCATAAAATGGGGGAGGGGAGGGGGAAGCTGAGAAAGGGGAAGAGGAAAGGGGTAGTTAAGAGAAGGAATAGAGGAAAAGTGCTTTAGAAAAAGATTGGAAAGAGTCTGAGAGGGAGGGGGGGGAAGTACTAGTATTATTTTAAGAAGGGGCGGGGTAAAAAAGTTTTAAAAACAAGAAGCACAAAAAAGTCGCGGGTGAGGGGAGAGAAATGATGGGAAACGAAAATATGATAAGGTAGAACAGGGCAGGGCAAAGCAGGGCAGGGCAGGGCAGGGCAGGGCAGGGTAGAGTAGGGTAGGGTAGGGTAGGGTAGGGTAGGGTAGGGTAGGGTAGGGTAGGGTAGGGTAGGGTAGGGTAGGGTAGGGTAGGGTAGGGAATAAGATAAGCCAAAACTTTACTTTGGCTTATCCTATCTTATACTATCCTACCTTACTTTGTCCTGCTCTACCTTATATTAACTTACATTACAAATATAAGCTTAAAAGCCTAAGTAAAGATAAAACAAAGAAAAAGCAAAACATTGATCTTTTTTTTTGACATAACTCAAAAATGGCACAAAAAGCATGTTCCTGATTAATTGCCACCTGATTTTCACTTTGCTTTCGATCATTTGACAATGTTGCATGACGTTTTAACCTTTTTAAACTGATGGCTAGGGGATCAAAAATTTAAAGCTGGGAGGGGGGGGAGTTGAGCTTTGTATAATTGAAAGCGGGTGGGTTGTGCTTTATATAACTTGTATATTTGACTGAATTCTTTTTTTAAAATTATTTTTAAACTTTTTGATAATTGCTCCCTTCGAATTCAAAACAGCTCTATAAACAAAAACAGTTCAAATTTCCGGTTAAAGGACGACAATCGAATATGTTTGGAAATTGAAAAAATTTTAAAACTTGGTTTGGAATGCAATTTAGGGGGGGGCGGGGGGGATACACCTATAAAATTTTTTTTTCAAAAAAAAAATAAAAAATGATGTCGTTAAAGAAGGCTAACCAGGCCCAGTATCAAGCTGATCAAATTTTAAACGGGCCAGACTAGGCCGACTGATATGTAGACCCCTACATATCAGTAGGCCTAGAAACGAGCCTAGGCTTGGAGCCCAAGATTAAGGCCCGGCCCGTTTTCACTTTTAACACAAACCGACCAGGACCGAGTTCTTTTTACGTGCAACGGGCTAAGCTTCTTTCGGACCGAGCCAAACCTGATGTTCAGGACCGGCCCGACCTAAGTTTAACTCAAGGCTGGCCCGTTTCTCACAACTACTGATATGAACCCGGGGTAGGATAAGGTAAACCAAGGCCCAAAGTTGGACCTCTCCCCCGTCCCTTTGCAAATCCAAGAAGCACAAAACATTGTCTACAATGTAAACCTACTGCAGTTTCGTATATATAAAACCGTGTTGAAGATTGTTCTTTGAAAGTAATTGTTTATATATAAGATCACTATTTTGAACCCAAGATCCACAAAAAACGTTTTTTTCAAAAATTAGCTAAAAGACAACGTTTTTTTTTTCATTTTTTGAGACTAATTTCTGAAATTTTTAAGATTACGTCAAAAACATCAAAGATTATTTACTATTAGACCTGAAAGGATTCCAACCAGTAAATCTGGACCTAAGATGGGCTGGACCGGGCCGTCACAACTTTGAAAGAGACTAGATCGGCTAAATCAAGGTCAAAAAATGAGCCAGCTCCAGCACTTTTATCTTTTAAAACACGGTTTATCACCTTTTTGGTATGATCCATACTATTATGTATTATTAAAATTCAATTTCTATAAAAAAGTTAAAAAAAGATTTTTTAAACTTTTAAAAATAAAATTTTCCCTTTTCAAAAGAACAAATTAACAATTCCAAACTAAAATGACTTAAACTAGCCTAATTTACAGTGAATCACAGACTTCTACTGCATTCTCCGTAACCACGAATTTTAAAGATTTAAGAAACTTTAATTTTTTAAAAAAGTTACAGTACCATGCAAAAAAATCAAAAATAAGCGCACCGTGCTGATAAAGATAAAGGCTGTACAGTGCAAAAACAATAGAGATTGCACTGTGCAAAAACTATAGAGATTGCACTGTGCAAAATCAATAAAGACTGCACTGTGCAAAAATAAAAAAGCCTTCACTGTGCAGAACAAAACAGACCAGGCCACATTTTTTAAAATTTTCAACCTTAACAAATTAAAAAATAAACACCTAAACAAAATGTAAAGACAACATTTATTCAGAATGACTATTTTGAGTAGTACTTGACAACAAATTTGTAGCTTCATCATCTTTATGATCTAGGTAACAAAACTGGTCTTTCAAATGAATGTAGTAGATGGTTTTGACTATCAATGTGACGTGGATTAGGCCGAATATTAGTCTAAAGCAATATAAATGTTACTTTCTTTTAATAAAATTTTGAAATTTTTTAAAAATGTTTGTTGAAAATGGCATTTTTAGCTAAAGTCAATCATTTTTAGCCTAACAGCGACTGTTTATAGCCATTTTCACTTTAAAAAAAAATTTTTTTTAATTTTAAAATTATAAAATAACTTACACTACGCCAAAATACGACCATTTCACCCATTCTTCAAGTGGTTTATCGATTTCTGGTGTAAATCGACCGTTTCTTTTTTACAACAACGACCATTTTAAAATTTTAAATTTCAAATAAAAAATTTTTTTTTAAATTTTTAAAATTTATTAAAAATCAAATAATAACATTCCAATCAACGTCGTGAGGTAATTCTCCGTATTCTATGCCCAAAACCTCGACAAAGTCTTCGACCGGTATGCCCAAACAAGTTTCGGCGAATTCCAAACAAGGATTGTACACGGACAAATCGAGACGTACTGTGCCTTTGCGGTACTGAAAATACAGCATTATGGGTTTTAAAGTACCGTACCAGACCGTACAGTATAGTATCCTACCCTACCCTACCCTACTCTACCCTACCCTACCCTACCCTACCCTACCCTACCCTACCCTACCCTACCCTACCCTACCCTACCCTACCCTACCCTACCCTACCCTACCTTACCCTACCCTACCCTACCCTACCCTACCCTACCCTACCCTACTCTACCCTACCCTACCCTACCTTACCCTACCCTACCCTACCCTACCCTACCCTACCCTACCCTACCCTACCCTACCCTACCCTACCCTACCTTACCCTACCCTACCCTACCCTTACCCTAGCATACCCCATCCTACTTTATGTTACGATTCTCAGCTTGTCTTGCTTTAATCTTCATCTACCCTTGCTTTCCCTTACCCTGTCTTTGCTCTGCTTTGCCCTATGCTTGACCATACCCTATATAATCATTCTGTAGCTTTATTCTTGCTCTATCTTTTCTTCTATTGCACTTTAACACTTATTATCTCTCTCCTCCCCCCCCACATAACTCTAAGGTAACCCAGTATAATATAATATAGATCACAAAAAACCCACTTGAATACAAATACTAGTGTCCGCAAAGCATTGATTTGCGTTTTTGAGTTCTTTATGAAATCCAAAACGGTAAGATTGAATGGCAAAGCGATCATCGTGATCATCATGTCTCAGTTCAGCGTATACCATGGTAGATAATGACATGTAGACCAAAAGTTGTAACCAACCAACCATCTTGGAAGTAACAAATGCTAAAACTTGAAATTTTAAAATTTTAAATTATTTAATTTTTTAAAAATTTTAAATTTAAAAAAAAATTTTAATTTTAAAAATTTCAAAGTCTGCCAAACCAACTATCTAATCAACCAGTCAATTTTTTATTCTTTGTGTTGTGCGTTACCGTAACCGGCCGTAGTGTGTTACAGTAATGGCTAAACAATGTCCGAACGGCGGTGGGATTTCGTCGGTCAAGTGTCCCGGCCGAAACATGCTGATTGGTGCTGGAGTGGTAGTTGTCGTGGGACTAGTCATTTATTGGGCTAGACGAGGTGGCAAGGTAGGTTACTGTAATTTTTTGAGATTTTTGATTTTTTTTGTTTTGGTACAGTATAGTACGTTGGTGGTACTGTAAATTACAGTATGAAAATCGAGATTGTGATACCGTGTTATGATACACAGTATCAAAATTTCGCTGTTTTACCGTCCTACAAGCTACAGTACCACAGCTTTAATTATATACCGTACTACAAAATTACAGTATGACAAATATCAGTTTACAGTACTATAAGTTACAGAATCAATGTTTTTGACTTCTTCACTTTTAGAAATCCCATTTGGAAGTAATCCCGGCTACAGAAACTGCCGTTCCGCCCCCGCCACTACAAGCTCCACCACCACCTCCGCCACAATAACCTACTGCAAGGTCAAGCTCTACCATATGATACGAATCATGTTTTGTTGTCTCGCTGCTTCGAACTAAATAAACTTTACTTTAGAAATTTTATTTTGTTTTTTGAACTTTGAAATTTGCTATCATCCTAATTCTACTTGCTATTATTGATTTCTCGGATATTAACCATGGTCAGGTTATAAGAAATTGCTATACCTCGGCCGATTTTTTATCAAATCAGCTGCTTTTTGACATTTTAGATGTAAAATGACAGTAGCAAAGAGACGAGTATAATATTTTTGTTACTTTTGGTTTCGAGAAGTAGTTATATTGTAATTACTAACCTATTGCACAGTGCACACCATTTTTTGGCCATAACTTTTTTATTTTAGAATTTAAATACCTGTAATTTTAAAATTCGTTTTTTATTTCAAATTCTGATATAGAAACATCACTTTCAAGCCTTATTTTAATTTTTCATATTGACCTTGATATAACCCAACAATAAGGCACGGCAAAGTAACCACAATCAATTTTTAAAGTAACTCCCTTTAAAAACTCCACTTCAATACAGCGCGGTAATTTTATTTTACAAAACGGTATATCTCGATGTGACAAAGTGTAAAAGACGATAATTTAAAACTCTAGTGAATATGAATAAGACCAACATGAGTATGAATGAGTTCACTGGATTCGAAAACAACAACAAGTTAGAAGAATGTGATTTAATTACGAGATATCATACAACGAGTAACAACTGATGGAGAGTATCAAAATATTTCCATAAAAGGTAGTCATTGGTCTAGGTAAGCTCAACCTTTAACTGACCATAATAGTACACCAGCTAATATTAACATTGATAATGGAACAAAAAAATGCCGGAAAAAAGGAAATGATCGTACTGATTAATACTATATAGCACTGATTAGTATGGTACCAATTAGTACCAATAAAAATACCAATTAGTACCAACAATCGGTACGATACTAACTAATTCGTACCCCACAAAAGAATGTCATTGTATTATTGAGAGCTGAGGTTAGATTATGGCTTAAAAAAGGGGTTCGTCATCGGCCGCCTTCTCACCATCTGGTTTGGCTTCAGCATTCGCTGCACTGTCTGGGACCACTTCTTCTGTTTCCACATAAGGCGGTACAAAATCATCCTCACCAACGTGAAGCATCCACTCTGGAGGTTCTTTGCCGCATTTTTTCAAGTACTAAAAACAAAATTGTGAACGTTATTAACAACAAAAATACTAAATTTAAAAAAAATTAAAAAATTTTTTAAATTTCAATTTTTTTTTCAATTACAATACCCTACCGTAACCCAACTTATAAAATCCATAAAAAACCTCATTTCCAATGCAAAACAAAACTAAAAAACCATTTTAACCAAACCCAACCCACCTCAACCGCCTGCTTCGCGACATTTTGATCCGCCTCCAACGTCGGGTCGATACAAACAATGGCCAGACCGGCACGTGTACGGCCGGTACGTCCGATCCTGTGTACGTAGTTTTGGTCCTGATGATTTGAGGTATTCTTGATGATAACTCTGTTAAGTTTTGGAAAGTCTGCACCTTTGGATAGTACGTCTGTCGCCACAATCACGTCAACATCACCGTTCTTGAATTGGTTGTAACACTCGAGACGTTGTTTCTGAGTTCGGTCGCTGTTGACTGTAGTTGACTTGACATCGGATAAACTTAGGTAACCAGCATAACCGTCACATTCCTTTCGTGTTGATACGAAAATGAGGGTTTTTTCGACTTTGCCTTTCTCTTCTACTTCTGAAATTTTTTTTTAAATTTTAAATTTGTTTTGTAAAGAAAGCTCTTGCCAGTTTTGAGTTGTAAAGAAAGTTCTTGCCATTTTTTTGTTTTGTAAAGAAAAATCTTTCTATTTTTCGTATTGTAAACAAAGTTCCTGCCATTTTTTGCCTCACAACAATTTTTTGAGCAAGTGTTGTCCCAGACCAAACTTTCCTGCCCCCAACCTTACCTTTCTTCAACAGTTCATGAACATATTGATCTTTGTCACTTTCTCTCACACACACCATCTCCTGAACGATTCTCTTGTTCAATGGAGCCGCACTTTCCAGATATACGCATTCCTTTTTCCTGCACAAGTCATCAATGGTTTCATTTTGAATATCATCAAAGGTGGCCGAAAAGAAGATGCTTTGACGATCCGCCGGCTTCGGGAAGGTTTCGTGCTGCACGATAGCATTCAGTTGAGGTATATTGTCGTAGCCGACCAATTCATCGGCCTCGTCCATTATAAAGTACTTTAGAAGTGAAAAGTCGACATATTGTTGGACGAGGAAGTGTATGAGCCGACCGAACGTTCCAACCAGGATGTGGCACTTGCTGGTCTGTTCACGACTGAGGTTGACGCTGATTTCACCGTAGGCTCTGGCTACACGAACACCCGTTCTGTTGGCAATCTTTTCGGCTTCGCAATACAATTGTTCGGCCAATTCTCGAGTTGGTGATAAGATGAGGCATCTTGGTTTATTCATTCTGATAACACCATCCTCACGGTCCTTTTCTTCTTCCAGTAGCTTTTTGACTTTGTGAACGATTGGAATCAGGAAAGCGGCCGATTTACCGGATCCTGTTTCTGACTTTCCTTTTAGGTCGAAGCCATCGAGGATCACGGGTATGGCGTGCTTTTGGAAGTTACGTGGGGCTTTGTAGCCTAAACGCTTAATGTTGGCTAGGATTTGTTCATCGAGTTCGGCGTCTTCCCATGTTCTACAAGTATTTTATGTTAATATTCGTTTAAAATAACAAAATAAAGTTTCGAACGTATTTTAACCATTATTTAAAAAAACTTAAAAATTGAAAAAACCTACTCAATAACCCTATCAACTTCCGGGCCGCCTTTCCTTGTTACTTCACCATCTTCCTCCATGTTCAATTCATCTTCGTCGATTGAACATTGTTCTTTGAAGTAATCATCGGCCGTTTTTGCTTCTGGTTCAAAAGGTTCATGTCTAGGTCTGTCACCTGAACAGATATTTTTAAAATTAAAAATATTTTAATAAAAAATACTAAAAAGACAATTTAAATTAAACATTTTAGAAAACAAACCCACCTCTGTAGCCGAAAAGACTGCTTCTGTCTTCACCAGGCTGTCCGAATGAAGCTCCTCCAAAACCTGAACTAAAGCCACCTCCAAGCGGTGCTGTGTTACCTCCAGATCCACCAAAGCCGGCTGGTGCAGCTCCAAAGCCTCCAACTCGGCCTCCGCGGAACCCACCTCCGCCGAATCCACCGTCGGAACCAAATCCGCCTCGACCGCCGAAGCTGTTGTCTGATCCTCCGCGACCTCCGAAATTGCCACGCCCTCCGCCAAATCCGCCACCACGACCACTAAAGCCGCCTTCTGAAGCTCCGCCGAATCCTCCGCGACCTCCGCCAAATCCACTGTCGGAACCAAATCCTCCTCGAGCTCCAAAGCTGTTATCTGATCCTTCGCGGCCTGAAAAGCCACCACGACCTCCGCCACGACCACTAAAGCCGCCTTCTGAAGGTCCGCCGAATCCACTGCCTGAGCCTCCGCCAAAGCCTCCTCTGCCTCCGCCGAATCCATCTCCACGGCTGCCAAATCCTTCACTGTCTGAGCCACCACGTCCAAATCCGCTTTGTCCGCCGAAACCACCGCTGCGACCGCCTTCTGAATCTCCGCCAAAGTTTCCTCGGCTGCTGAAGCCACCTCTTCCTCCTCGGCCTCGGTTAAAGCCAGAGTCTGATTCGTTTCGGCCAAACCCGCCGCGGTTATTGCCAAATCCTTCATTTCGACTTGCGCCAAAGGTATTGTTGGATCCTGGCCCTCGACCTCCTCCTCGAGTATCTTCTTCTTGATTCCCAAAGCCTTTGTTTGAATTGTCTGAAATAACACAATTTTATTAACTTTTTATGAGTAAGATAATGTCTCTTATATGGGTAAAACAATGTCTCTTATATCTAAGATAATATAATGTTTTCTAAATTTAAAAAAAATTTAAAAAAATACTTACCTTTAAAATTAAAACCTTGTCCTGGTCCCGGAAAGCCGTTGCCTTGTCCACGGTTGCCAAAGCTGTTATCTTGATTTCCTCGGTTGCCAAAACTATTTTCCTGACCGCCTCGGCTTCCGCCAAACCCTCCGTGGCCACCAAAGTTCTCCGAGCCACCACTGCCAAATCCAGCATTAGGTGCGCCTCGTCCACCAAAATTTCCTTTTGAAGGTCCAAAACCATCACGATTTCCATCCGAATTATCGCCAAAGCCACTTCGATTGCTATCACGACTTTCACGACCAAAGTTTTGATTACCGCCCCGAGAGTCATTATAGCCATTGTTACCACCTCGAGTGTCATTGTAGCTGTTATTGCCTCCTCGAGAGTCGTTGTAGCTGTTATTGCCTCCTCGAGTGTCATTATAGCCATTTGATTCGGGACCTCTACTGCTGCCTCTGCTTTCTTCTTCTTGATTGCCGAATGGGCTGCTGTCATCTTAAAAAATAAAATTTAACTTTATATTAAGTTATTAGGTATATATGATTCTGTTTTTGCTTTTACTTTGAAATAAAGTGTCTAAAAATAACCTTAATATTGTAAAAAAGCTACAAAATCTTCACTTGTACAAACAACATTGGTTTTGAAGCATAAGCAATATCAAAATCTGCAAAAACCCCGAAAAATACCTAAACCAACTTAAAAACCCCTTATTTTCAAATTTTTAAAGAATTCTTCAGTTTGAGTCCCTAAAAGTAGAAGAAAACCAACAAAAAAACACACCATCATTAAACGCTCCTCCAGGCCTTGGTGGTGCACGAGCACCTCTAAAGCCACCTCTGCTCATCTTATCTTATTGTCCGTGCTGAGTCACGGCCTTAGAAACCTGAAACAAACTATGTTGACATTGAGTTTCAAGAGAAATGCGCGCGAAAAACAACAAACAGCAAAGAATTTAAATCCAATGAACAAGATAAATGTGTTACTTGTATTCAAAAAATAATTTAGATTATGTTGTAAAATGTTTTAATGCAAGAAAGGCCAAGCAAAGCCGGTGCGAAAAATCAAAAAAAACTACTTTATATTCGTGAAATTTCAATTCGAAAAGAAAATAGCCAGACATATTAATGTCCGTTTGGTCCCAAAAGGAAAACAAACAAGCGAAATTCACGGTTTTTGAAGGAAAGGAAAGTCAGCTTTTTTGAGGTAGCAAAAATAGAAAATATTCTTCGTTTTGAATTGAACTTTATCAAAAAAAAATTAAAAATTTGTGAAAATACAAATTTCATTTAAAACCTGGTAAAGCTTTTTTTCTTTGTTTTAGGTATAAACCAGGATTGTTTACATGGAAAAATAGGGGTTTGTTTAAATAGTGTAAAAGCTTTATAAAAGCAGTATTTTATGGTCGATAAAATTTAGGTAAATAGGAAAAATAGTTATAAATATCCAATAATCCAAGGTAAACCTAAATTTAAAAAAAATAAGCATGGGAGAGTCAATAATAACCAAATAAGCCTAAAAGATATTCAATAATAATAAAATAAGTTTGAAACATTCAATAATAAGAAATAAGCCTAAGACTTCAATAAAAACTTGATTAGAATCTGATGTGAACAATTAAATTACAACTAACTCTATTTGACATACATTGGTTTAAAGTCAATCCTGAGCTAAAACAATGGGTTAGAGTCTGTTTTTTGACCTAAAACATTGGGTTAGAGTCGGTTTTGTTACCTAAAATTTTATCAGAAGCAATTCTGAGCTAAAAGGTTATCTTACAGTGAATTGTGAGCTAAAACATTATTTTAGAGTAAAATCTGAGCAAAAGAAATGTGTTAGAAGCAGCTTTGTTACCTAAAACAATGTTTTAAAGTCCGTTCTGACCTAAAACATTGTGTTAGAGAATAAAAGAAAGGTTTTTGATTCTGATCTGGCAAAGAAATTGTCGCTCGTTTCTATCGCCCAATGTAATTAATGCCGTTTGAAAGATGCGACGCGCGACACTTGGACATTAACTAAAGGATAATGTCTGTTTTATAATGGAATTTGATCTATTGAGATGGCAATAGGTGATAGCTAAAGCCTATTGAGACGGCATTATATGATATAGCTAAATATTTTATATTATAATAGAATGTGATGGATGTTATAATGAAATTTGATCAAGTATAACCTACTATAATGTAAATCTGATCTTTTATGCTATTAAGATCAGATTTATATTATAGTAGGTATACTTGATATTATTTCTGATCGTTTCAAAATTTTGTCCGAGAACTTTTGCAACAAAAAAACCAACATCATTCTCATTTCGAGCAGGAAATACACAAAACAAACACTTGAGTATCATTATAAATAGTACCGCAAGGTCAAGCCGAGTACGAAAAGGGTTTAATTAAGGGTGTTTACATTACTCCGTAATTGACTTTTTATTTTGACTCTCAGTTACTCGGTAATATTAGCGTTCTTGGGGTTGGTTTTGTACGTTAAGGACACGTTAGAGGTTTGGCAGGTTTATGCTTATGTTAGTGGGGTTGGGATTATCCAGCTTCGTCTTAGTAGGTTTTATCATAGTAGGCTTAATAATCTTGGTTTCAGTAGGATAGGCTTAATTGTTAGGCTTGTGCTTAGTAAGCTTAGGCTTGGTATGCTTAGGCTTAGTAGGCTTAGGCTTACTAGGTCTAGGCTTATTAGGTTTAGGCTTTGAAGTAGTAGGCTTAGGCTTAAATTTAGGCAATTTAGGCGTAAAATACACTTACTGCTAGGCTTAGGCTTGGTTGTTTAGGCTCAAGCTTATTAGCAGGTTTAGGCTTAGTAGTCTTACGATGTTAGGCTTGAAAATTTAGGCTTCTATTTACTAGACTTAGCGTTGGTTGTTGGCTTGTGATTTTTACATATTGTTAGACCTTTTAGGCTTAAGTTGGTAGTGTGTATGTTTAGGCTTAATTACTTCTGGCGTAGTGTTACCTTAATACGCCTAGGCTTAGTATTTAGGCTTAAGTTATAAGGTACAGTGAGAAATCTTAGCCTTTACATTCTGACCAAAAAGTCAACCAGTACGATGTTTGATGTTTTTACCATCAAAACAAAAAGTTACATGTTTTTGCAGACATCTACCCTTGAGAATGATGTATGTGAAGGGTTATGACTGTTTGCAGGAACGTTTATAACTTTTCAAAGACCATGTGAATCCTTCTTCATTTACACTTCCTCGTCTTTGGTGATATATATCACATAGCTGTTATGATATATCGCATTGTTTTTGGATTAAAAATTGCAAAGTTGGTAAACATGATATCACGCGTGGTATCTTCGGTATATTGTTGTTGTGTTGGGTATTTTGCAAAGATATTTTGGGCACACAAATAAACTTTTAATCTTGCTAAAAATTTTAGGCTTAAATAGTGGTGTTAGGCTTACAGTAGTTTTAGGTTTAGACTTAGTATTCGTAGGCTTAGTAGGCTTAGGCTTAGTAGGCTTAGGCTTAGTAGGCTTAGGCTTAGTAGACTTAAGTTTAGTAGCCTTAGGCTTAGTAGGCTTAGTAGGCGTAAGCTTAGTAGGCTTAGGCTTAGTAGGCGTAAGCTTAGTAGGCTTAGGCTAAGTAGGCTTAGGCTAAGTAGGCTTAGGCTAAGTAGGCTTAGGCTTAGTAGGCTTAGGCTAAGTAGGCTTAGGCTTAGTAGGCTTAGGCTTTAACAGATTGAGCATTTTTAACATTATTAAAATTTCAAAAATAGCACTAAGAATGCTATTTTAGTACTATGTTGAACACGTGTAATATTTTCATGAGACACGGAAATGTTCGTTTTAAAAAAACGGAAATGCTCGTATTATTATGAAATTCGATCATAGATGCATTTGATATGTTCGTATCGATGAGGTGCAAATTAGTCTAGCCACGTTTTTCAACTAAATTAATAGCTGGAATTTGAACTTCGTGAAACTGGGTTGTCAGATTCAGATGCACTACGTGGCTGTTTGTAATGTGAAAAGGAGGGGGGATGTTGTGGGTTTGGGATGAGGAATGAGGATTTTTTAATTTAGGTAACAAAATGTGTAATTTTGTCTATTAGAAGGTCAAATAGCGTAAATGTAGCTATTACAGGTCAGTAAATGTATAGAACTGTCATTTACAGGTTGATAAATGTTAAGAAATGAACTTTACTGGTCGATAAAGTTAAAAAAATGGCATTTTAGGCTAGATTTCAAAAAATTAGTTTTTAATTTCTAAAATTTAAAGTTTCTATAAATTTATTGACCACTGACATAGAAAAACTAAAAGTACTAACGAGGAAGTCACCTACGTCACAATTCGCGTTACTTATGTAAATGTGTTGAACAAAAGACATTAAAATCAAGACGTTAACAACCTTGTTATGCCAGACGTTTACCGCGGTACTTATAGTCTGTTTTATAGTCAAATCTCTTAATAACAGTACTATAGAGTACTAAGAATTGAAAATGCAAATCTGTGTACTAACATACAAAGTTCAGTACTAGAAGTTTGTTGCATAAAAAGTGTTACCTAAAACTTGACGAATTGTGCAAAAACAAGATTCAAAATCCGAATCCTGGGAATCCATAGTGAAGCGCGAAAATATAAGCCTAATTTGCATTTTCACAGCCATTGACAACCGTCTCGGCCGTGAAATTTAAACTTTATGCCTAAAGGGAAACATGTTTTCATAGTTTTGTTTGAACTTTCGTATGTTGTACTATATTTGGCATACGAGGGTCTTTGGGCTTTAAAGGTCTTTAAATAATAGTTCTTGTAATTTACTATGGTATTTCATGTTATGAGTATTATTTTTATGCCTTTTTTTGTTTAATTTTAGTTAGGTTTTTTCAAAAAACCTAATCCAAACGAATTAAAACTGATTAAAAGTTGGCGTGTTTTACCAAAAAACACTGTAAAAACAACATTTACCGGCTTTTTATAACAATATCATTTATTTATGTGTTAAAAATAAAATTATGAAGGTTTTATTACTTCATAACTAATTCTTTAACCGTTTTACCACTTCAAAAATAGTTTTAAAACAACTTTTATTGCGCAAAAAGTCGAAAAAGGGAGGCTGCCCACGACCGGAATCGAACCGATGTCGCCACGGCCACAACGTGGAGTACTAACCACTATACTACGTGGGCCGGCAGCTCGGCTTTTTATTTCCTCTCTTGTTGCGCCGGAAGAAACGTGCGGCTTGAACTGGGATGGTTAATATAGAGTTTATTTTGTGATTTCTTTTGGTTTTTAGAAGAATTTTGGCTAATATTGGCTTACATTTGAATATATTTGAAATATTTTGTTAATTAATTAATAAAATGTGATAAAGACCATGTTTTTTGCTGGTTTTTCATTGGAAATGAAGGTTTTTCAATAGCTTTTACTTTTACTATAGTTCAGTTTGGGGTTTAATTTCAATGAGAATGTATTGAAGGTACTATATTGGCACTTTAAATAAGAGTTTCTAGACTTTTTTGAAAAAAACGAGAAAAAAAGGATTGGAACGATCATCGTAACGGCCAAACGAAGCGTTCGGAAGCGTAAATGTTGCAGCTGATGACCTTTTTTTGCTAAAGCGGTTAAAGTTAACTATATTTTCTGGTCTGGGCAATTGAATTTTATTAACGTTTACCCCGTTACTTCCGTATTTGTTTATGTTATGTAATGGTTACTCAGGATATTCGTACTCTGTAGGGCGGATGAACGTTTAGTGTACTGTAGTAATATAGGCTTGAGGGGTGATTTTTGGTTGTTTGTGCGATTATTGTGATAATTTTTGATGTTTTGGCTTTGAAAGGCGGGTTGGAGGGCCGGCTTGATGAACATAGATCTAGCCTTAGCCCAGA